TAGTTTGTCTCAGGGTAATCCATATAGAGAGGAGACTTAATACAAAAGATGACAAAGTTGTCAGCAGATAAAGTGATTCTTGAAGCAACATGGTATATAAGGAAGAGAGCCAAAATGCAAAGGGTGAGACTTTTCAGGAGAGAAGCAGACCGAATTTCATTGGGAAAGATGGCAGAATGAGTTGTGACTTTCCCCTCTTCACTTGCCTGAATGCAACACCCAAAAAAGAAAGTACATGCTAACTAACAGGAAAATACCTTAGTAGAACCAATCAAGTCATGAGTCCATCTTTGTTTCCTTCTCACTTAAATGCCAGCCCTTGAAAGCATCCAAATCTATAGCTAGGTGCATCAAGTTCTGCAATATTGAATAATGTTACACCACTGATAAGTCAATTAGAGAGAATCTGAGCTCATGCTACACATTCCATGAAAGTTTCATCTTTCATCTATTCTTACATTACTGTCTCTTTCAGGAGGGGGAGCTGCTCTAAACAGTGATCCCAAAATAATAGAAAGCTACCAGTTGTAGAGAACACAGAATATTTTCCCTGTTTATTTCTTACCCCTTTGTATGATTAGAGCAGAAGTCAGCAAATGTTAGGAAAACAGCCACTTGATTTTTCTCTTTCTGGAATTTAACTTACCCATCCTTTTCACACTCTTGAGATCTCTACACCATGGCATCTTCACACCTCATATGTATAATTAGTAATGCTATTTAATAGTTTAATAAATAAAGGGTTCAAACATAAGGCTAAGACCTCTTTATGAGATGTTCCCTCATAAGGCCAATATAACCATTGCAAAATTACCATTCCAACAAGGATGGTTCTGTTGTGGATGCATGCCACCAGCTGCACAAATGGAAAACAACTTGGTATAATGTTGTGATCTAAGTGTGCTGAATTAAAATTAAATACTGAATTAACTCATATGACTGGTTTAAAAAATTTTCACTTTTCACTTGTTTAGAAAGGTCTCCCTTGTTTCTTGGGAGTAGGACAACATTTGATCCATATCTTGTGTTTCCATAACTCATTTTTAACTGCAGTCCAGTCTGCACTGGCAAAGTTGAGTAATACTGCAACTGACTTGCAGAGTGCTCTGAAACAACCCCAAACTGCCTGTTTTATATAGTTTATCGGAGAATGGATCACTATAATACAACTTTTAGAGGAAATGACAAGAACAGTCTTCTTATATTGAGTACTGAGCATGAATAAAATCTACTTTAGCAAGTTCAACAAATATGGAGGAAAAAAGTAATGTACATATACTGTTGTGAGCATTTAAATATTTGTTAACTTGAACCCTCTGAAAATAAGGTTGATATAAGCATTACCAAGAAATAGTTTGACTAGCCTTGCCATAAAAAGATTAGAAGGAACACAGAAATTGCCATAGTAGATCACACCCAAGGTCCATCTAGTCCACTATCCTGTCTGACAGTGGCCAGCACCAGATGCTTTAGAAGAAGATATAAGAACCTTGTAGTAGATAGATGTGGGATAGTAGGCCCTGTTTCTAGACAAACACACATCTCATTTTGATCTCTAACAGAGATTGGCATAAATCCTGAAATCCAAGGTTTAACATCCCTTCCACAGTTTGTGATAATTAGGATAATCTGGATGTTTTTAATATTCAAAAGGGACTGAAAATTTTATAAGGATCTCAAGTTCTTGACCTCACTGAGTACGCCTAGCCTACGTTCCTCTTTTGAAAAAGGAATGCAAATGAGGGAAATCGAAAATGCAAATGAAGTGCTGATTTATAAATCTTGCACTTCATTTGCATAATCTGCCTCACTGGGTACGCCTAGCCTACATTCCTCTTTTGAAAGAGGAATGCAAATGAGGGAAATCGAAAATGCAAATGAAGTGCTGATTTATAAATCTTGCACTTCATTTGCATAATCTCGTCCGATCACTTTTTCGAGAGGTTTTTCAAAAAAACAGTTGGGTGAGATGCAAATGAAGCTCAAGATTTGTAAATCTGTGCTTCATTTGCATTTTTGATTTCCCTCATTTGCATTCCTCTTTCGAAAAAAGAATGTAGTCTAGACACACCCAATGACTATTAGCTGATTTCCTTTAATTTAAACTTCAATTCCATGAATGAACACCAAGCCTATATACGATGTTGAAATTTAAGGACTAATCACCGTTCCTTTCTCCAAATACTCAAATTAATATTACAAATGTAACTTATACTTGACACTGACACAGTTTTGTTTTGAAGTTAAATAGTTTAGTTGTGCATGATAGTAAAAAAAAAAAATTTCAAACATCAGTGGCCAATTGTCTCTGAAGAAAGGTGCTATAAATGTAGAATAATTAAAAATGGTAAGAGCAATACGGGTCACATTCATTTGCCGATCACTAGCTAATGGTATGATCCAAATTTGGTAGGCGGTATTGAACTTGGTGAATCTCATCTGTGCCATTTTTAGAAATGTGTCAATTGCAGAAAGTCTATTGGATCATTTGAGGGATGAGTCTAAATTGTCATGTTTGTTTCTTGGAAAGCAAAGCTACAGCTTATGAGCAAATTATCAATTTGGTAACCGTTGGAGGGATTTACGGGAAGGAGCTTTTCCTCTCCAGAACATACAAGCAGCAATGAAAATGAAAAAAGTTGGTACGCCTGCGGAGAGTGAAAGCCATCACATTAAGTGGCACCATCAAGATCCAGCTTTTAGGCTGATATTTTTTATGAAGTTAAAAATAACACATTGTGTTGATATGAAAACATAACTATCTTCTGAGCCTGTAAACGTCACCATGTTGCAGTAAGAAATCTGCCGTAGTAGTGTGTGCCATTTTTCAGTGGTGTGACACAACAATTCTGTGTCCACACAAATGCCTGCCTTCAATGTTGGTTTTTGCTATTTGTTTTGAAGGTTAAGAAAGGGGGCTTGATCCACCTGCAAGTCACATTATGGAAGGGGGGCCAAGGGAGGATAGAGAGTAAAACAACCAGATGAATTACAAGTTGATACATCAAGAGGTTTGTAAAAAAAACTACTCCACCACAATTCAAACTGTTTGTAACATGAGACAATGGTGACCGGGCAGCCACCACCAGCTTCCCCAGGGCTGGAGCTGCAGCCGGGCAGTGGTGCAGTTTAGAATGGCTTTCCTAAGCTACTTATACTTCTAAGTCATTAACAGAGCAGTTAAAATTGAAACACAAAAATACCAATCAAAAATTAACTCAGCACTAACTCCAAATTAAACACACCCCCACACCTCAGTCCCATTCTCACATGGATTTCACAAAATTTTAGTCCTTTTATCATTTAATTCACAAACACAAGGTCATCTGCTTGTCTTGTAACAACTGCTTATTTTAGTTTCTGAAAATTGAATGCAATAAAAATCTCACTTTTTATGTCCACTGCAAGCTTCAGAGTCTGTCAACTGCAGCAGCCTCTGCAAGGTGCATGCTAAACTGCAAGTACTTATGTTGTAAACTGCCAATTTATTCACAACTGCACTGATGTTTTCTTTTTTTGTCAGCAGTCTTGCCACCTGTTTTTTTTACACATTCTCCCTTGTGAAAAAAATGTGTCCACATCAGAGTTGTCAAATGGTAAGAAACTGATTTGTGAATAAAAGTGCTGAAGTCTGTTCCTTATTTGTGAGGTCACATTATTGAAAAGCCTCTTGGTACCTGAGAAAAAGTTATGAATCCTGAATGGACGCGCTAGTGCTTTTTTTATTACCATGACTTCTGAGCTGCTCAACAGAGTCCTCTATACTATACTCGCTTCTATAGCTCCTTCCAGCCATTCAGTCCACATTCAGGGAGGGGGAAAGCAGTACTGGGAAGAGATTTTGCCGCGAACATGGGGGCTGGTTTGTTCAGTGGGGCATTTTCAGTTGCAACTCAAGGGTGCAGGGAAGGGTGGGAACAGGATAGAAATATTGCATCCGTGCCTGATAAACCATCATCGGTTCTATAGAAAAGACTCCAGCTGCCAACCACAGCGGACTTTCAGAGTGCTCGGAAGCCTACACTGAATGAGCATGGGGTTTGGTAGGCAAGGTGCTCAAGTGGGAATTGCCCTTCCTTTTGAGAGCAGAATGAGGCTCACCAGACCCTTCACAAGTTGTGGCAGGCTCTTCTGGACTCATCACTCTTATTACTGCCTGGTCTTTAAAATGGCTGCTTCAGGGAACAAAAACAATGCCATGTGGCTTAGGTAACTAATCACAAGAGAAATAATGAATAGTGAGTTGTCCAAGCTGTTCGACAGCTACTTAAAAAGAGCAAATACCTTTAGAGAAAATCAGGACAGTGTCATGACCAATTCATTACCCCCTCTAAAAAAGCTATATTTAGATTTACTATTTAATGACTAACATGATTACTTAAGAATTTTACAACCCAGTTAGAGGGAGACTGCTGAACTGGAATTAATTTACAAATTTGATACCGTCAACCTGGGCTTGAATAATGACATTAACCGGTTAACACACTACAAACCAACTTCTCCTGTCTTTGATATTTGCATTTTCACATCAAAAGCTATGAATGGGACACATCCAGCCTACTTAGCTTCATTAACACACGTCCTACAATTGACAGAACTGCTTTTCTTGAATTCTGTTCTTTCCTGTCCAACTCATCTGATGAAGTAGGTTTTACTCGTGAAAGATCATAATGCTTTATATTTGTGTTAGTCTCTTAAGGTGCCACAGGGCTATTTGTTCTTAATGCTTACTTATGGTTGACTTTGGTTAAGCTGCACAGGGAAAAGCAGTACTGCTAAAGATCAGTGCATTTAATAAAACTGGAACACTAATCATTAACTGTTAATCTGATCCCACACATGTTCTGGTGTGTTTAGCCTTTCTAATGTAAAATTGTCTCCTGTGTAAAATAATTGTTTGCCAAACCAGTGTCATGCCAAGAAAAGATAGTCTGAACTTCTTTTAAACAATGTCCTTTTCCTTTATTATATTTTAGATGGTTGTTTACTACTTTAACTTTTTTCTTTTCTTAGTCCTGAGTAGTTTCTTTTCTACAGACTATTGTCTTGAATGAGATCCTAGAGGCAGAGGTTATATTTGACTTGCATAATAAAAACACTGACTGTGTGACCTTCATGAGGCCTTGAAGTCCAAAAGATCTCAAACTTGGGAAGTTACCATTTGGACAGGGATTTGAATAGGTAAACTGTCAAGTCTTACTGCTCCCTGGTATATGTCAGTTCCATCAAATATGAATGTCTCTCCAGCTTTTACATATTTTTCTAAGTTGTTTTGAGTCTGAGGGATCCTCTAAAAGATTAATAAATATCTGATCCTTTTATCTGTGCAGATCAACATTTTATTGTTATATGTCACGGCATCTGTTCATTGTTTTGATGGCTACTCTGGAAAACTCTGCAAATATCCAAGTTCTTCAAGAAGTGTCCCTATGTGTGCTACACTGAAGGAGTGCTTATGTCCCTGTGCTGCTGATCTGAGATCTTTGGTAGCAGTGTTTGATAAGCCTCACATGCATTGTCTCTCCTTATGCCCTATTCTCTAGTCCCAGTCAAAACAAAAATAGTCTTTACTTTTCCCTCTTTTTCATTGGGGACTCCTTCCCCCAGTAGGATATGCCTGTTTCACTAGACTTCAGGAAGTGCCTCTCCAGTAGAGAGGCCATCTCTGTAGCAGATAAGCATTTACGCTGCTTCGAGGAAGGCCACATCTCACACAAATATGGTCTCTGCCAATAACTTAGACCCAGGTCTCTCAGAAAGATGGGAAGTTAAGATGGAAGATCATATTTATGGAGGCAGCCTTCCATCCCTTCCCTAGACCCATGCTGAGTCTCACTTGACAGAAGTCTTCCCCACAGCCCTCAACATCCCAGGGATCAAAGAAATCAGCCCTGGACCCCTCTTGCAAGTCATTGAAAAAGAGAGCAGTGAACTCTCAGGGTGAGACCAACCTAGCTACAAAAGATCTGTGGCGGCATCTATATCATGGGTACTGAGACAATTCCAGCCTGGTATCCAAGGCTCAAAGCTCTGAACCATCAGGTATCACAGACATGTGTAAGGGCCTAATGAGCTACTCTCCATACCCTTAAGGATTCCAGGGCAACTCTCAACTCATTAGGAATCTACACATTTGTACAAAATAGGAAATTTAGTCCACGGCCCCTTGCTCTCATGAATCTCAGAGAAAGAAAAATAGATTTCTCAACTATAAACCAACAGGCTTACAGCCTTCCACATCAAACTAATCCATCTCCAAACACCAATTTTGACATGTTGGTTGAGATACCACCAGGTCACCTCTCTCAACTGCTCCAGTTACTATCTTGCCACATTCTGCAACACCTGGGAACACACAACATTGGACCGATAGGTCTTGGAAATTATTCCCGATTGGTATTCCATCCATTTTACCTTCCTTCCCTGTCCACAACATAAGAATATAAGAATGGCCATACTGGGTCGGACCAAAGATCAATCCAGCCCAGTATCCTGTCTCCCAACAGTGGCCAATCCCAGGTGCATCAAAGGGAGTGAATCGAACAGGAAATGATCAAGCGAGCTCTCTCTTGCCATCCATCTCCACTCTCTGACAAACTGAAGCTGGGGACACCATTCCTTACCCATACTGGCTAATAGCCATGTATGGACTTAATCTCCATGAATTTATCTAGTTCTCTTTTAAACCCTGTTCTAATCCTAGCCTTCACAGCCTCCTCAGGCAAGGAGTTCCACAGATTGACTATGTGCTGTGAGAAGAAGAACTTCTTTTTATTTGTTTTAAACCTGCTGCCCATTTGGTGGCCCCTAGTTCTTATATTATGGGAACAAGTAAATAACTTTTCCTTATTCACTTTCTCCACACCACTCATGATTTTATACACCTCTATCATATCCTCCCTTAGTCTCCTTTTTTCCAATCTGAAAATTCCAGTCTCTTTAATCTCTCCTCATATGAGAGCCATTCCAAACCCCTAATCATTTAGTTGCCCTTCTCTGAACTTTTTCTAATGCCAATACAGGCAGTCCCCGGGTTACGTACAAGATAGGGACTGTAGGTTTGTTCTTAAGTTGAATTTGTATGTAAGTTGGAACTGGTACATATTGTAGGGGAAACTCTAGCCAAACATTTCTCCAGAGCTCAGTTTTATTCTCCCACACCTCACTTCCCTCAGTCCTTTATTCTCAAGCTGAGGTGTCTGCTGAGAAAAGCCGCTCCGCGTCTCCCTGGTCTGCTGGGGTGGGGGGGGCGCTAGCTTCGCAGCTCCCTGGTCTGCTGGGGGGAAGCAGCTAGTGCGGGGTTGCCTCACCCCGTTTGTAAGTAAGGATCCGATGTAAGTCGGATCCATGTAACCCGGGGACTGCCTGTATATCTTTTTTGAGAGGAGGAGACCACATCTGTACGCAGTATTCCAGATGTGGGCATACCATGGATTTATATAAGGGCAATAAGATATTCTCCATCTTATTTTCTATCCCTTTTTTAATGATTCCTAATATCCTGTTTCTTTTTTGACTGCGGCTGCACACTGCGTGGGCGTCTTCAGAAAACTATCCACGATGACTCCAAGATCTCTTTCCTGATTAGTTGTAGCTAAATTAGTCCCCATCATATTATATGTATAGTTGGGGTTATTTTTCCCAATGTTCATTACTTTACATTTATCCACATTAAATTTAATTTCATTTCAACACCATTTCCCATTGGATCGATAGATCTTGGAAATTATTCACAATTGGTATTCCATCCATTTTACCTTCCTTCCCTGTCCACAACACCATTTCCCATTTCTTTTCAAGGAATCTTCTCGTGCGAGTTTTCTACAACAAGACATAAATCAGCTCCTCCAGTTGGAAGCCATAAAGTCAGTACCTCAACATGTATGAAGCAAAAGCTTTTATTCTTGCTATTTCCGAAGACCCAATAACAAGGGAGATTGGAGACCTGTTCTAGACTTCAGAGAGCTCAACAACCCTCACTCCAGTGCAGCACCTGGAATTCATAGGGGTCAACCCAAACTTGCAACAGGCCAGAGAACTCCTACCTCAACACACATTCCTCTTTTTGGCCACACTCAGAGACTGTGCAAAACAGCTCCCAGATACCAACCAAACATTGTCTTTAACATTTGGGACATATGGAGGCAGGCACCACATGCCAGGATTCAAGAGCAGTGTCTCCAGGTGTGGTTCAGCTTGGTGGACAGAGAAGACTAGATAAACCTCTGTTACTGCCTGCCAAAGTCAAGCTATCCCTGAACTGGTGGAAAGAAAGAACCAGTGAATGTTTGCAAAGGGACCCCTATCATGCAAATTACTGTCATTACTTCTCATCTCCAATGCATCTGTCATGGGATGGGGCACATATCTAAATGGCTTTTCAATACAAGGCAAGAGGGCATCATGGAGATATCCCTACACATCA